CCCCAAAACCCCAAAACCCCAAAACCCCAAAACCCCAATAAAATTTAGATAATAATATTATTTTTGAGGTAATGGAATCTCAACTTTATTCTATAGGATCTTTAAAGAGAACTACATGAAAAATCTAATCTTGTTATCGATTATTGTGTGGTAAGTTCAAAATTATTTTGTAGCGAAAATTTCAGAACTAATTGCTCATTCCTCAATGGATGGATCCTAAATCCTTTCGTTTTAAGTTAGAGATATTTTGGTGTCATTTTGATTATAATTTTCCTTAGTCTTTTCTTTAATAAATTTTTGATTACTGCTAAACCTTGATTAGTGGTGTTCTAACTAAACAATAGACTATCCCATTGCATTTATGATGAAGAACTAGCTGTAGACATGGTTTATGCTTCAGCCTTATCATACTGTCCTTCACATAAGGTGATGTCACGAGGTTGTAAGGCTGCTACTGTTGCCACTGAAAATATTGATCTCATTCCATTCTTTTCGAAATCGAACAACAATTCTTTGACACCTATCTATATGACTCTGATGAAAAGAGAGTCACAGAAACAGATTATTGTTGGATTCTCTGGGACTAAAGGAGGTGATGAATTGCTAGATGAAGTTACTCATATCTTTCCAAAAGAATATGACATTCATAAAGATAAAGGAATGAAAGTCTTTGGGTTCTTTTACGATCATTATAAGGACGATTTTAGAAATGATTTCTTGAAGCAAATATCTGATGCAATGAATAAGGATGAATATGAAAACTATGATGTGATCTTCACTGGGCACTCTCTTGGAGGTGCTCTTGCTATGCATGCAGCGGCTGATGCTATCCTAAGTGGTTTTCTTAAAAATAATTATGTCTATGTTTACACTTTTGGTCAACCTAGAGTTGGTAATGCTGAATTCATAGATGAATTCTTATCAAATGTGAATGGATTTTACAGAGTCATTCATAACAATGATATTGTACCACATCTACCCCCATGAATCCCTGATTTTAATGAGGGATGCATCAGGCACGGAATTTTGATTCCAGTTTTCCCATATCATGCTGCCACAGAAGTACTCTATGAACAAGGTTTCGGAAGCTATAAAGTATGAAGCACATTTGAAGGTGAAGATAAGACCTGTTCTCTTTCTAAGAGTGGAAACAGCATTCCAGATCACCTCACCTACTTCGGAGTTAAAGTTGGCAAATTCCATACTTACGAACCCCAAGAAATATAATCCCTTTGCTACCCAAAACAAAATGAAACTCAAAAAATTGAGTTAAATCATTTCCAATATTCCCAAAATATCCCGGGGTTTTGGGGTTTTGGGGTTTTGGGG